TTTTCTTATTTTATACAATAACTTATTTAGCTTATTTTCATGCCTTCCTTTTTTTTTGCCTCATTTTTAATAGTTTTTAATACTTTGGTTTGGAATAAGAATTTTATTAATTCAATAAAAAAAAATTGCAAATTTTTTTACATAAAAATTAAACAAATTCAATAAGTTTCGATAGATTGAATAAGATTGCTCGTTGCAGTCGGTAGTACTCCATTAATTAATTTGTCAGGTGTAACATTCATCCTGTTTGCTTACTGTCAGTTGATCTTTGACCCATTTGATGCATAATTTTTCTAAAAGTTATATTCTCTTGTATATGTTGTGGAGAGATTAAAGGTGTTTTAGAAGCTATCCATCACAAAAGCCTTAATAGAATGACAAACAGATTGTTATAGCCTTTTAAGCCAATAAATCAGTTTGCTTTTGTTGGCTTGTCACTAATTACTTCCGTTGACCAATGAAATTGGGTATGCTGATAAATACAATTAGATGCTATTAGAAATGGTAAAAGTGGAAATTATAAAGAAATTAGCGCTTTTGATCGTTTCAAAATCGATTCAAAGAAGTTGCAAAGTTTATTTCTAAAGATGTTTGACAAATACGAATATATATATTTTTTTTTTGAAATTATAGCTTTAAAATTTTCGTAAATTTAGCAAACTTTTTGGCTTAATTTATTCCACTAATATTTAGTTTTGTCTTCAAATTCTATTAACAGCTTATTTTGTTTTCATTAAATCAAAATTGCCTAATTATTCCCTAAAAATTTAAGGACAGAGCAAATTTGAGCGCGCGCGTATTTAATCGGATAATTATCCTGTTTAAGGTCATCTGTACCTGTATTGCTGTAACAAAATAGTTGTCCACTATCTTATTTCTCAATTAATTATTCCATCCATTCCATTCGTTCTTCGTGTCTTATCTCCTATGGAATTAGGAAAAGCAAATTTGTTCCGGTTCAGATTACATGCAAATGATTGAATCATTTTGATCGATATCTGCTGCAATGCCAATTTGAGGATATATTGTTATGAGCTCATTTGAGGTCAAAGGTACAATGATAAAGATATAAATTGTATTATTCATTATTCATTCTTATCATTATTTAGTTTATTATTATTATAAAATGAATAAGCCATCAGATATTCACCTTTTTTTTTAATGACAAGATTTAATTCACAGATATAAATTTATCAAATCTAAATCCCTTCACTATTCCACTTTGATTTTTAATCGTAAATCATATTAATACAAAAATATTGACTTACTAAAACTACCATTATCTAATTTATTTAAGTTACTTAAAAGTTAACTTTTACTTATTCACTAATACTGCTTCATAAACATACGCATTACACTTCACCTATAGTTTTCTAATCATTTAATTTGCAACAATTTAAAGTTTGAAAAAATAGGTAACATTAAAAAATTTTTTCCCCTTCATATTGATTGAATAATTTTAAAAAGGAATCAAAATTTCAAACTGTTGGACCATCTGCAGTGCACTAAGAATACGGTATCCGTCACACGATTTCTCTGCCATCCTACTACACAGCAGTGGTTTCACATTTCAAAGAGTAAAGAATTACAAAAACAATTTTTCCATTTCGACAATCATTTCATGCCAACGAGCAGATTTTTTCAAATGAATATTCAGTTGAGATGATTGTATCATTGAAATGAAATTACCAATCAAATATTTTAGAAACAATGGCTGATGAAAAAAAAAAAATACTTCAGTTTAAACACCTAATAAAATCAAATTAAACGATCAGATATAACGGATCAAATATTTGCATAAGTAAATATTTCGAATATCTATCATCTAAAGAAATGCTTCCTTCAGATACATTGTAAAAGTGGACAATGCATATCACCAGATTTGGATGAAGGTGGTGATAATGGACAAACAAGTGCTGATAATAGTTCTGCTAATACTTCCTCAACAACAGTAACTGTTCCTACATTATCAACAGAACAGTCATTTCAATTAACGACAGAATCTCATCGGTCATTATTCTTAAATCCTGTCAACCAACAACGATTCCCTAGGTTTCCATCTAGTAATCCGGTATGTTTTTTGTCTATAATTATATCCAACAAAATTAAAAATTGATTTAATCATAAAGATTAGAAATCAAATAAGTGGCCAATTATGGCCAATTATTCAATTCAGGCAATAAAATTATTTGGCTTCCGCTTGTAATTTTCAACCATTTAATGATTTTTCCGCCTTTGCATCACTAATTTTATCATTTCACATCATTCTCATTCCTCAGTAAAGCAAATGGCTGGTTCATACCTGAATTTGATTACGGTAGATTGTGTAGCAAATTTGTTGTTCAGATCATATTCAGAACAATGATGAAAAAAGATTAATTAGTAAAAATGATTTGCATAAATCAATAATTTATTGGCTATTATTTCTAAATTTCCATTATTCTTTTTTCTAGACGATACAAAGTGGTTTTGTTGCGCCCAGTCCATATCAAACTCCTAATACAATGATGCCAACAAATGGAGGCTTTCAATTATCTGATTTTAATGTTTATACACATTTTTCACCAAAAATGTCTATACCATAAGTTTTTGCTTCATAAATTATAAAATAATTTAAAAAATCAATAATTTTGATTATTGATTTTTCATTGTTTGATTATTGACCTCTCTTTCTTGTTCTGCGCAAGTTATCATTCCTGCATTTCCCTTTATCATAGGAATTAAATGATCAGATAATCTCTGTAGATTCGATTAGGTTAGAATGCACTCATTCATTCCAAAATTTCAAAATACCTACAAATAAACTTCTGATGATTTTATGGGGATGAAATATGTTTGGCCTAGTTAACTTGGCTCGTTTTCACTCAAGTGGAAGGGTAGTAATGATTCCTCATTATCATTTTTATCGATCAAATTCAGCCTGCGTATCATTTGTTCTCATCATATCACGTGTATTTGTAAAGAATTTTCAATTGGATTAGTATACACTGAAGTCAGTAATTTTCCGCTCAAAACTTTTTACCAATTAGATTGTAATTATATTATAATATCGTGACAGGAAAATATGATAAGGGTAGAAAGATAATTAGTAAAAATGTCTCGAGCAAAATAAACCTTTCTATGAATAGAATTTCACTTATTAATTTTCTCGTAATAATGATTGTTTTAAAGATACACCTCTCAATTTACAAGTTCTCATATAATTCTTCATTTTAAATGGTTTAACTGGAATGAATTCTTCTGTTAAAATGTAAATTTCAAATGTAACTTGCTTTTTAGCGTGCATCATGCGCGTGAAAATGAGAAAATAAATTTGCATATTTGAAATAAAGAGAAACTTTAAATTTGATTTTGCGCTTAATAAATGACTTCGTCGACATTTTTTATCAAAATAAATGGTTTTAATGCAAGAAGGAAAAAGTCAAAATCAATTTTTCTCAATAAAATATTGTCAAGTTTGATTAAATTCTGTGAAATCAAATGATGAGAAACGGTAAAAGTCAATGATTTAGTGCGCAAATGTTGCGTCATTGTTGCGTTATGTATGGATAATATTTTGGCTTATTTGCTTGTTTATTATGTTTGTCGGAAAATGTCAATGCAAAAAAAAAACATCCGAAGCTACTTGTTTTTTTTTTTTTTTTGTACTTTTAAATAAGTCTAAACTA